AAGGTCTTTCATTTTGTAAAAAAACCCCTTTGTGCCACGTTATGACAGATAGACAACACATTTTATCTGTGTTGTGCAAATTTATTTGATTAATATCTAGCAGGAGGCTCAAACGTAGCGTTACGGATTTTTTCATTATAATGTCCTTCAGCATTTTGGGACTAGTTGGCGTGACTTTTTTAATTAAAATTAAATTTGCAGACAGGCACATGCACTGTCCTGTGGTTTTACTTTCCTTTTTCCTCTTTCTTCTCTTTTTCCAGCTAGTTGAAGAAATATTGTACCTGCACCAAGAGAAGTGACTGTCAGAAACTGGCTAGGCACTTCAGCAGTGTTTCAGAGTGATTAACCATTGATTTTTATAAATTAGGTAATTCAGCATTTTAAAAATCTTACAAGAGCTTGTGTGTATATCCTGTTTTAGAAACAGTTATTTAACTATTTTGTTGTGTTTATACACTAATGAGGAATGTAAGTATCTTTAATGGGCTGGTTATGAAAGCTTTTCTGTATACTAAAAAAAAAATCAAACACTCCTGCTTTTACACTTAAAGCAACTTAAACTTGTCTGCCGTGATCCTAAGCTGCGTGCTTCACAGTTCTGGGAATAAGGTTTAATGAAAGAAGTATTTTATAGCACGTGTTCTCACGAAAACCTCCAGGCAACTCTTAGTATATACACTTTAGCGTGGGGGAAAGCTCTTGTATTACCTTTATTGTCATATTCTAGGTATCAGGTACACGTCAGATTTTACATTAGGTCGTCGAATGTGTCCAAGGGCAGTAAATGGGAAATAAATGCCCGTGATCCAGCCTCTTAATCTGACGTGGGGCGGGAGACTGGCAGGACCCAGGCACTTTTGAGATCCAGATGGTTGGCTTTAATGGCGTGTCTTCCCCGAAGTGATCCGAAATAGGAGGGCCCTCGCCAGTGGACACACCTCGCGTGACGTGGTTGTACCAGCAGCGTGGTGCTTCTCACGGCTGTGGTGAAGCTGCTTTTGTGAGTAAAATCAGCTGCACAAGCGCAGTTCTCCTTAACTGCTGTCCCACCACAAACAGCAGAGGTTCGTGACAGCGTAGCTGTGTCAGTCGAGTTGTGCCTTTTAGAGCTCAGACTGGTACAATGTGTAGCTATAGCCTAACTCCTGAGAAAAAAATGTGATTAAAGGAGGGAAATATGACCATAAAAGGAAAGCTACTAACTGTTCTTCTTGAAAAAGATCATTTCCAACACTTGCCTGTCATCCTTCTACTCCACTTTGCATCCATGCAGTACTTGATCCTCCCCTCATTTTCATTGTTTCATCTTAGTTGTAAGATTTTTTTTTCACCTTACAATTAATTGTAAGCTTAATTGTGTTATAGTACAATAAGCTTATTTTTTCTGTGGCACTTAGTACATGAGATTCAAATACAGTAGAGTTGTTTGGGTGCTGTCGCATCACAGATCCACGTCTGTCTTCCCTCGGACTTATATTTTTCAGTAGTTTTGATTTAGGATCTCTGCTGAGTAGTAATAGAGAGAATGGACATGTTGGATGTGGCCGTTGGTAAATTTTGAACAGTAACAGTATTTTTATTTTCTTTTCCAGGAAGTGTCGGGGGGTTTTTTGTAAAGTAGTTTGCCTGCATCCAAAATAAAACCAATGGCAATTCTATTTGATCTAAAATATAAATGGAAGGAAAATAGCATTGACTGAAAAGGTTCAACAGCCTTTAACCAGGGATAATTATTTTGTTAGGTATAAGTGTAAGTCAAGAAATATACTGAGGGGTTTCTTTCAGAGAGGACTGTAGCTGTCGTAGAAAACAGGACTTTGTGAGTTATTGTAAGCATAACGGTAAAAAACAGAAGATAGGGTTTGAGTTTTTTGTTGTTTTTTTTTTTTCTCTTATGTTATCTTGCCCTTCCAGCTGCCACATGACCTGATAAAGAACATGTTCTTCTGCATAATTTAATAATAGCCCTAGCTCTGGAAGTGTTTGTGAGAGAAGTTTTGCCTTTTTTTTTTTTTTTTTTTTACCTGAAGCCTAGTCTGTTTTGTAAAATTATGTTTATTGTCCGGATGTCATTTCACGTGTCCATGCGCATTGCTAAATTCTCTTCGCTAGACTTGGACAAACAGCTTTGATGCATGAGGACTATTAATCAACAGTTTTCATTAGCCAAGTCTTCACTGGCAGTTCTGTGCTTTATAACGAACTATTTGACATTACTTGAATTTTCAAAATGCGCTTATAGAGGAAGTATTGCTGCTGAGCAGGTCAGCAGCCCCATGTGTCTGTCTTATTGTCTGAATGTCGCGAGGAAGGATATAATGAAGGGCAACAGATGGAAATCTGGGTGCTTGATCTGGGAGTCACTTGTAGGGGCAAAACTGAGTCTTGAATGCTACCTACGGTTATCATTTGTGTTACAGTTAGTTTCAAAAAAAACCAACCCATCCCCATAAGGTTAGTGCCATATGTCTGGAGCAGTACGTAACATACTCCAGAGAGAAGCTTCTAAGTATGGATTTGATCTCACGCAAACGTGTTTAATGCCTGTTGTTTGTTTGCATTTGTAGTATTTAAACTACTACCAACAGTCGTGACACTTGAGCAATATGACTCTTAATGTGCAATCGGTACTAGACGTCTGTTTCATCCTTTAGAGTATGTAGAATCGTACCCAAAAATACATTAAAGGAGCGTAACGGTGCAGAGTCAGGCGTTCAAAAGTCAGGAAATGCCAGAATTAAAGTTCCCTGCATAATTTCTTCTATTCAGAAATAGGCAGGACTTGCTCCTGCTCCCTCAAAGCAATACCCTGCTACTGTTACCTATTGCAATTAGGTTCAAGTCCACCTTTCCTTTGTGGTCTTAAATCTATTTTTTGTGGTGAGGGAGAGCGGAGTCCCGAGTCTGCCCGCAGGACGTGCGGAGAGTGACAGGGTCAGCTTCCGTCCCACACGTTTGGGCAGGTTTTCTAATAACGCTGGGATGGTCAGAGAACTTACCAGGGAATTGTTCACTTTAATTCCTTATTTCTTTTCTGAGACTTAGTTTTTAGGAGGAGCTTGGGAGAAGATTGGAACCTCCAGCCTTGCAGGCTCAAGGCTGAAAATAAGAACCAAGTTTTCACGCGTACCTTGTGCATTTTTTTCCATCTTTTTGCTTTATTCATCTCTTAACCCCCTGGGAGTTTACAGCTTCGGTCAGTTAAGTAAGCTAGCTAGCCAATGCAGTAATTGAGGCCAGATCTGCTGGCGTTTCTGTGGTAACATTTGTCTCGTACATCAGTGAGAAAAGAACTTGGCAAACTTTAGGGTCAAAGGATATGAATTATTAGTGAAATATTTCTGTTTATTTCAAAGAAGTATCAATGCTGGTGTAAAGACGCTGGGGGTTTCCTTGTGCTGACTGCGCTCTGGGCTGTAGTAGAGAGGAGCTGTAGCTCACTGGTGTGACTTGTTGGTATTAAGCCTCTCACCCTGGGTGATGTCTCCGCTCTAAATTCTGAATTGTCACAGTTTAATCCATACTTCCGAACGGCCTCTGACTGGTGGAGGCGTATCGGTGTAAATGCCTTTGCTGAACTGGAGAACACTGCTGCCTTTTGGTTTGGTTGTACAACTTAATTTAGTCTTGAATTCCCGGTACTTTCTCGAAGCCAAGATAGTGGCTATAGTTAGGAGTGCTTAATTCCCCTCTTGTGTGTTGATGGGTGCTTTTATCCGAAATAACCAAGCCTTTGGATAATGATTACCTTAATATGTAGCAACTCAGGGTGTGCTGAGGCGTCTTGAAGCCCTTCTCTCTTTCCATTCTGTTTTCTATGTGTGAAACTGTCACTGTTCCTACAGAGAGCGTTTTGGTTTAGATGGAATCCTCTGTGCTGACATGAAACCTTCAACTTTTGAGTGTATCTGCGTTGAAGTGCTTTATAAATGCAGCTCCTTCCTTTAACCTGGATCTTGGAAGCATCAAGGGAGTTCACTCAGGCCAGTTAGCTCTACTAAGTGCAAAATGTGTAATTGCAGTGTTTACGTGACATTAAGTACAGAGAAAAAGTAACAGAAATGTCTGAAATGAGCAGGTCCCATGTGCTGACTTGTGGGGGAATGATCTTCATTTTCTTAAAATGGACTGAATGAATTATAACTTACACTGTGTGTCTTAGGACGAGAGCAAAGGAATGTTGAAGGCAAGGTCTAAAATAGATGACAGTGCTGCTGGTTGTCAAGGTTGAAAATACCCTTTTTTATGATGAAGTTTGTGGTTTTTACCTTTTTGACATTTACCCTGTGCCTTAGGCTGATGAGCAGATTTATTGCTATTTCGCCCTGCGGTAGTGATTTTTACATGAGGTGGATGGTTAATATTGCAACAGAGCAGTAACAGATTTAAGATTGAATGTGTTAAAGATGATGCACTTGCTGCTGAGCAGAAGAGAGGTCCATCTAAGGAAAATAAATGGTCTTTTAAAACTTACGGAAAATTATGTACTTTCGATGCTTCCCAGTCTGGAGCCATAGCTTTGATTAGCCTCACGGTCTTTGGGATGAGCACGGCAGGAGCTGAGCTAAGAGGAACTGGACATGGCAGAACCATTTAAGCATAAGAATAACAATTCCTAGTGAAAACCAGAACAAAAGGGCATTTGGAAGAAGTCAGGGAATAACCTGGGAGAAAATTAAAATGAGACGAAAGGGAAAACTTTGGGCTTTCATAGTACAAAAGAAATGAAGTCTGATGGGAGTGGGCATTCAGGGAAGGAAAAGGTTCATTTGTCATTTAGCATTTTTAATGGTTGAATGTGATTTATTTCACAACTGCTGCCTACCGGTTTTCTTTTTCTGTGGTCAGTTGTTAAAGCACACAGCCATCTGCCTTGTTTTCGTATTATGCTTGTTTACATAAACTAGATGAATATTCTCTGACTGTGAAATGCATGTTCTGCATGACTCCATTTTCACCTTTTTTTTTCTTCCCCCCTTTTTATTCTGTAGATTCCACCAGTCTGCAAGCAAAGATCATGGCACCGTCTGGGGGGAGATTATTCCAGGCAGTTATTAGAGGCTTCAGAGGTAGGTACAAATTGCTTCTGTTGTTTTAATTATGGAAAAATAACCACTGATAAAACTGACTTAAGCAGCTGATATCTTTTGAGGGTCATTGGGACTTCAAGGCATGAAATCTGCTTAGATTGTTTTCTATAATATTTTTCTTTAAACTCTGAAAAGTGACATTTTGATTTGGGAAACCCTGAGGTCTGCTATCAAACCACATTACATAAAACGAGGTTTCTAAAGAGCTTTTACATAATTTGAATCTGGAAATAGTTAACATGTAGCAGACCTTTTTAAAAAGAGTCTGCATTTTGTTTAAACGCTTTAACAGGTCTGTTGTTTTCTGACAGGGACTTTGAAATTTAATCTGGACTAATGTGGAGTGGTAGCGAGTTATTTTTTACTACATCTGTGCACATTAATGAATTCAGAAATGTTCTCCATATTTATTTAACAGGGATCCTTGGCCGCATGCTAAGAGAAGTGAGCATTTGTTTTTAATAAGCAGGTTCTTTTCCTGACTGCACCTGTACATGTCTTTTACATTTCTTTTCTTTGTTCTTTAGTCTACTTTTCAGTTTTTAGGTGTCCGTTGTAAGCGTCTGTTGTCTTTCGCTCCTAATGCTCTTTAATGCTAGATTTATAGTCTCTCTCTTATTATTGTTTCCTTAAGCAAGGCAAGGTTTTTAGAGAGAGGTAGTATCTTTTAATAAAGCAAGCTGATACAGCTGGAGAATGAGGAAGGAAAAACAGACCAATGGCTCTTCTTCCTATTGGTTTTTATTTACGTGCATGTTCCCTGAGGTTCTTGCAAATTGACTTCTCATTTTCACACAGATCCTGCCGAGGTGGCGGCTGCTAGAGAAGAGGATGTGTTGGCATGGTCATGCAGGTGGAGGGCTTCACACGGATCCAAAGGAAGGGGTAAAAAAATCGCTTAATTAGTATTGCTCATTACATAAAATGGGATCAGATTGTCTCCTCACCCACTCCAAGAAAAGTAACTGAAGACCTCAAGCAACGATTTGTGAAAAGCTGTATTGGTGTATGTGTGAACACTGTAGCGGAGTAGGCACTCTTTAATTGTTGATGTAGGCTTCCTAGCTCTTAAATCACTACATTGAAGTACTTCAGTTTTAATAAAAATACAATCTTAGTGTCACACACTTCTTTGAAATTGGCTGGCGGTATGTCAGACTTCTTTTTTTAATGGTAAGAGGGTTCCACTGTAATTTATTGTGGTTTGTTATTTGATATTTCCTATGACTTGACCTTCAGGATGGCAGAAATCAGCTGGTGGGTACAAGTTAGTGCATTGGTTGGTAAAATTACACTTGAAGTGAGGAGGGGAGAGAAGTAATTAAACTTCATGAATTTTTATTTGGCTTTAATGTTAATACATCTTTGACTGTATTTGTATTCAGGAAGCACATGTTAAAATAATTATGATAGGTCCGTAAGGAGAAGCAGAATCTTTTATTAGACCAAATGATTACAGTTAGAAATGAGGCAAGCTTTTGGTTAAAACAGCACAATATAAACTTGGCATGATTAAAATTGCAAAACACCGGTAATACTAAGGAGTGGGGAACGTTCCTTAACGTTAAAGCTCACTAGGAGTATGTTAGCCAGAAATTCTGGTGTCAGCTGATTATTTTTTTTGACTGCTGAGCTGTGTAAATATTCCAGTGACATTCCAATCTTGGAACTTTTTTCTTCCAATAAATGAAACGATAATGTAATTAATATGGGACATCGTCAATTAAGGCTGTTGTCTAACTAAACAAATATCAACTCTTCAGGATTGTCCAGGAGAAGGCAGCAAGAACTACCTGTAGAGGAGGTGAAATGCCTCAAGAGTGCCAAAACCAAAGAGTAACGTGGGGTGCAAAAGCCAAAAGGTTCTGAGCAGAAGTGAAGGGAAGGAAACATGATGTAACAAGTGCGGTGCTTGCACTTGCTCATGCTTGTATTCAGTGTGTAAAAGTCCTGGCATCAAATTTACCACGTGAGAATTTTTTTTCCCTTGGGCTTATGCTTGTAGGAAAACTGCAGGCAATACACACGTCAGCTCTGTTACACCTTTTCTCTTGTTCAGAATTTTTTTGACAAGCCAGCCTGTTCGGTCTGGAAACTGCCTTTGAGACTGATGTTTTAAATTGTCCTTTTTACAGCAGCTTGGGGGGATACAGGACTGAATGCTAAAGCATAAACACCGAGCATGAAGGGCACGTTACCTTCCTAGTTACTTGTGAGATGAGAGAAGCTTCCACATCAGTGTTTTTACAAAGTCATTTTTGCTTGCAGCAGTGGCTGATGTGCTGAATACTGCAACTGAAGGCAGTATTTACTTCTGCTGGCTTTGTTTTTTGGTGCGTGTGTTAATCTTCTTGTACACAGAACAGACAGGAATAAAAGCTGTGATGCCTGACTTGTCGCTAAGCAGACATATATTACTCTTTTATGGAAAGACTGATAGTTATAATGGAGCCCTAAAAATTAGCCTTCCCGTACCACGATTTCACTCGGTTGCTGTTCAGCTTGCTGGTCGTTGCTTGCCTTCTGCGGAGGAACGGGTAGTGTGAAGACAGAAGGTTTTTTTTTCCCAAAGTGTGGAAGGAAGATTCAGGCCCTGGTCTGACATTTACTTAAGCTGATGAGGCAACTGAAAAAAGAATCCTACCCGCTTCCTCACCTTAGTAGTTTGCTACAGAAGTCAGTGTATGGTCAGATCATAAGCAAATGTGATCTAGGTGAAAAATAACGTGTCCAAACAGTGGGAACACCCTTCATAAGCAAATGTGATCTAGGTGAAAAATAATGTGTCCAAACAGTGGGAACGCCCCTCTGCTTTTTGTCATGCTGCTGAATTTATCGGATTTTTTTTGATTCTTTTTACTGAGATGAAACCCTGCAACAAACACTGAAGGGTTGTCTGTTTCCTCAACTGAATTGGTTCATCAAGGTGTTTCAGGAGCTCCAGGGGTGGTCCAAGAAATGGGATGGGGCTGCACGATCGAGTGCTGCAAAGAGAGGAAAAAGCAGGGGAGGAAGCAAGCTGTTGGTGGTTTGGAGAGAATAACCTCGCGCTGATGTAAGACAGCTTGTGCCAGTACAATACGGAGGATGATACGGCTTCGTGAGGGAGTACACAGAGAGCCAGAACCGAGTCATTTTTCCTTCATCAGCAGTGACACCTTAAATGCAAGTGAAACTGCCTTTTGCTTCCATCATGCTCCTGACAGCTCATCATCCTGGCAGAGGTTTTATCCATAAAGTCACAGGGTCAGCCCAGCGAATGCTTTGCAAGGCTCGGTAATCTTGGAGATTGTCTGGAGGAAGGATGACTTTCTTCTTTTCCCCTCCTTAGGTATTTTGAAAGGTCCAGAACCTGGATGAGATTGGGTGGAACAGGGGACAGGAAGATGGTTGATGCTCATTCCTTTGCAGTAATCCTCAGTGTTTGGTTGCACGTTTTAGAAACATGCTGCATTCAGAAAAAAGAGACGACTTTTCTTCTTTGCTCCCTGCTGTGTTAGGTTTAGAGTCCTTTATCTTCCGTTCCTTCCATTGCTGTAGAAACAGGCCTTGGAAGGAAATCTAAAACATTGCTGCCACTTAAAAGGAGGTGAAATAAATGCATCTCTTAACCTTTTTACATACCACAGAGAATCAGAAAAGGGCCTGAGTCCATTAAACAGATTGCTCATTTTAATTCCTAATGTTGCCACTTGCATATTTAAACCATTTTCAACTCGTGTTTCTGTACAACAGGAACATTTATTTCATGGTAAACTTTGATGTAATATGTGTGCGTTTTGCATCTCCTTTGATAGTTCTTCTTGTTCTTTTGCAATGCCTTTGGCAAATGACTGGCTGCTTCTGACTGGTTTTCCGAGTGGATTTATTTCTGTCGCCGTTCAGAGCCACGAAGAAGCGGAAATAGGTTGCTTGTTTGCAGCCGGTGTATTTTGTTCTCTTTAATAGCTTTTCGGTGCAAAGTCTCATTACCCAATAGCAACATATAATTAGAACTTCTTTGGTTGCACTAGTATTTGTTGTGTTAATGTGATGCTTTTTTTTTTTTTTAACTTCCTTTTAACCTGTAAGTGGTGATCAAAGATATTTTCCAAATGTTTGAACTGCTCTTTATGCATATCCTTGGCTCAAATGGAAAGATTCATGTATATGCTGCAGCAGATCTCCTGAGTGAGTAGGACTCAACAAAAGTAATTTTGCATCCTCTTTTCACTTACATACAGATCTTGCATATATTCTTTTTCTTTTTAAAAAAAAAAATGTGCTTATACTGTGTAATGCTTCAGTACATTTGCAGTTGTTGCCAAAATGCAGTATCTCTTTACCCTTTGGTTTTCCTTGAAGCTATGACCAGAAACACTGAGATTAATTTTGTGGTGCTTTTAAAAGCTTCCGTTTAAAGGCTTGACTTCCCTGGTTGCCTCAGCAGACTTAATTTTAACAGAACATTCCTTTCTTGCTCATTCACATTGGACCTTAACATAGAGTTTCTATTCTAATTTGTTTTATCCTCAATGTTGAGGAGGGAGCATTTAATGTATACAGCCTAATGAGGGAAAAGTAAAATATATATTAAAACTGCCCCTTTCTACTGACTTTGGTGACGAAAAGTCATCTTGAAAAGGTGTGGACTAACTTTTTGCTCACACCCCCTCACAAAATATTGCCTGAAATGGAGAGATTAGCTGCTACTTGCTGTTTTAGATAACTTTCATGTCTTTTAAGTGAACCCCAAGGTAGCCAACACAGAAAAACAAGTCGTTGATACTTGTGCTGTATGTTCCTGTTGTGCTGTTATTCTAGATGGGTGGTTTGGGCTTTAGATAATACATTAACTTGGGAGTTTAGTGGAATATAGCTCAAGTGTAAGTAATATGGGTATCTAGCCATCTGTGAAATAAGCTGTATTGCTGTAAAAAATACAACCAAACCTACCACCAACAGAAAAATAATCCCCCCCCCAAAAAAAATCCTCCAAAAGCCATAAACCAAAACCCCTGTTATTTACCAAGAAGACTTAACTGAATTGTGGTTTTGTTTTTTTGTCATTTCATTTTTTTTTTTTTTACTTTTTACATTTTCCCTGCTGTTGTTTCTATGCTCTATTAAAACAGAAATCTTGACAAGATAAAAAAGAAGGGTCAATTTATTTGTTCTGTGAAATATTTCAGCTCTGGTGAATTGTGGCTTTCTGTACTTGTGCTCTTGAGGACATGTGGATTAAGAACAATTTATCTCTTTTAACAGCCTGTCATGGATGTAAACCAAAAAACCCAGGACTTGAAATTTTAATATGCGGTCCTAGTCTGAGACACTGTGAAGTGTCTGTTGCCTATCAAATAAAATACAGAAAGGATCCAAATATATAGAATTAATTCTTCTTTGTACTGTTATTTTTCTTCCTGGGGTCTCTTTATAATGCAGTGCCCTTTGCTTGTTCTTTCCAAAAGCTGAAGGAGATAGATGCCAAAAAGATTATCAGAGCGATGTTGTCTTACGTGTGGCCCAAAGACAGACCAGACCTGCGAGCCAGAGTGGCCATATCTCTGGGGTTTTTGGCAAGTGCAAAGGTAAGAACAGCTACTTTGTTGTACAAGGTATTGCTCATCTGAGCTCGGACAAGGAATAATTTTCTTTTTTGTTATTTCAGGGCTTTTGTGATCTTAAGATGTCAATCTCCTGTGTGAGGAGCATGTAGTGCTAGAAATAATGGCTTGGGCTGTTTAACAGTGTGTACACAAGTGATACGCGTGTGTGTGGTTAGGGAGGTGATGGGGATGACCAGAATTTTTATTTCTCGTGCTCGCATCAGTTTCGTCCAGGATTTTCCATTGCTGAGTAATCATTTAAATTCCAAGTTCTGCGAAATGTGAGGTAAAGGCTGCTTTCAGATTTTGTCTTCCTGTGTGGTGCTGTATCTGTCAAACAGGATTTCTTCAGAGCTCTGTCCCTCCTTCTCAGCTTGAACATGAGCCACATGGTGGTATCTGCTCACAGCTCTGCCCGTGCTCTGGAAAAGGGGATGGCAGCTCCAGTCTTTCCTTGGTGTTTCTCTGTGGAATGACAGTGGAATTTCTGTTGTTTCAGGGACTGCTCTGGTGTCCTAATATGAAAGCAGCTGTATAACTTCATTTTTTATGTTGAACGATGCTTTCCTTCAAATGATTTTTCTTGTAGTCCTTGGATTCTGCAATGGAGGACTGCTCTTACCTTTACTTCATTGTGTATTAGATCTTGCTGGGATAAGCTGAAGTAGGTGCTACTTAACAGAGAATTTTAGCACTTGAGCAAGTTGCAGTAGCAATTCATTAACATTGAGCAACAACGCTGTGTTGTGGAGTGAGAGGAACAAATTTCAGCTGTGTAGGTGTTGCAAGAAGAGCCCTTGGAAGAGAAACGTGTGCGTTTACTGGAGCTGAAGAGGAAAGGCCTCTTTGGGTCTGCAGCTCTTTCTCCTGAGCGCTCTATCGGGTGCGAGCTGGTGCTGTCTGCTGCAGATATTTTGAGTTGTGCTGCTGCTGATAATGCCGGTGACACGTGCAGAACATGGCAGGTCTGTACAAGTAAACGTCTCCCGCTTTTGTATGCCGGTGTGAAATCCACAGCAAGGTTTTCGATTACACCTAAACACTGTCTGGGAAACTATCTGCTCCCAACGCAGATGCTAGGAGCGTTTAGATTCTGTTCTCTGAAGTTGCCCTCGCAGTAATAGTATAAGTGATGTGTAGTTAAGAATATCCCATTTAGCAGATGGCTATGAGAATTCTTCTATCTCGCTCTCGTCTTTTTTTTTTTCAAAAAGCCTCTTATTAGTAAGGTTGTTAATAATCTGAAGACAATTTTGAAATAAGTTGGAAGTATTTTTTTCTTTTTCTCTTCTACTTTTCACTCCACTTTCCTAATTTGCAGCGTTATATGAATATGACGGTGAATATGAATCTGGAATGTAATTCCACATGTGGCAGCGTTGCACCTTGCTTTTAGGAAATCCATTAATGTTTCAAGCAGCTTTCTAGGGTGTAATAAAACCAAAATTGCTGGCCGGGATGTCTGACTCTTACAAATAGCTCTGCGTTTGGTGTGATACAGAGCTGTTGTATTTCTACTGGGAGAGATGTTTTCCCCTCTCAGAAAATTGGACACTTAATTGTTCTTCGGGGAAGTAACTGGATGTTTGGATCCCTCTCTTAAGTGTTCTCTTAAATTTCCTGCTTCAGATTCTGTACAAGGCAGCCGTGATGTCCAGAGCAGATTCCCAGAAGCAGAACAGAAAACCTGTTGCTTTGTGCAGGTTTTCGGAGAAGCCTGTTAAAGCAGAAGTGTTTTGTGAGAATGTTTGTTTTGGCAAATGAGGGTTTCACTGGGGAGATACAGACCAAGCTCTCTACAGAATATATATTATAACTGGCTGGAATGAGAAATTGCCTGGATGTCTTCTAGCTATCCTTTGCTAATGCTCTTTGTTTTGTTCGGGTTCTGTCGTAACAAAGCTGTGTTAGAACTCAAACGCTTACTTCTGAATAACTGCAGTTTAACAAGTTACCCCTCAGCTCCTGAGCTGTGTCCACTCTTCCCTGGTGGGGCAAATATTCTTCAATTCCTGCGTGCTTTCTGTGTACTAAGGATGCGCCTAGTTACGATTGCCTAAGTGACATGCCATGCTCTGCTGCAAAACTACAGCGAGTCTGTCCTGTCGTTGAGCCCTGAACATCTGCTTTTCTTCCAGAGAAAACTTAATGGTCACTTTGTCGCAGAGAAAATGAGATACAAATGAGTTTACCTGTAGCTTGCCTGCACCGTGCATAATCCTCTAGGGTTTCCTCATTAGCCCGTTGGGGAGCCTTTTGTTCTGATTGCTTGTGAGGTTAATTACCGGCTGCTTGATAGACCACACAAGCGGTTTGGTCAGGGTTCTCTGCTATAGAGTTGTGTCAGCCCAAGAATGTCAGCGTGTCTTGCTCCTCGCTGCAGCCCTGGCCCGATTTCTTTGTTCGCTATGAACTTGTCAGCATCTGAGGGATTCACATCCTTATTACGGATTTGATCCAAAGGCTGCTTGTTCTAAGGGCTCTCACATAGAGAACTAAATGATCCTGCTGCTAATCACCTTCCCCAATACAAAATACTTGTGTAGGACTTTGGGCCAATTTACTCCGAGTTTGACAGAAGAGTTTGCTGAGGTTTTATACCTCTGTATTTATCAAGTTGAGCTTCTGGTTAGACGAAAAAAAATCCAAATGGTGACTCTCTGAGACAGAGGCTGTAGGGTGGCTTCAGAGTGTGTTTTTTTTTTTCTAAGAAAACTTCAAAGGAATCGCAGCGGAGAGGGGGGTTATGAAATCCTCAGCCGCAGGAAAAAAAATTAGGAGTTCACACCAGGTTTCACTGAACACAAAAAAAGCTGGAGATCGTAGCTCTTTGTCCTGCTGCTTGAGAAATAAATTGTCTCTTTAAATCTTCCGGTTCAGTAAAATTCAATTTCAAAACAAAAGCCAGTTTGTGTGCAGCTACTCAAGAGCCTGCAGTTACAGTCTGTCTTGACTCCTTTTGTGGGGCCCAGTTGCCTGTCATTGAACAAATTATTGTGATTTTTTTGGGGGGGGGGTTCCTTTTTGTCTGCACATAACCGCTAGTAGTTTTGTTCGCCTTCAAAGTGAGCTGTTTGTACAGCGGTTTACAACTGGGAGCTGACAGGACGGAGTCTGCTCTAGGGCTAGTTAGGTCTTTTTTTTTTCCCCTTGGAAGATTTGTTGTGTTATGACGTGCTTTAAATTTTCACCTTAAATATTTATAACCTATCTAGATGTGTGTGATCTGAAAGATGCAGCAGGAAGACAGGTGAGAGGAGTACACGAGGCGTTATCTATGTTTTCTGACGTAGACTAGCCTGCTTGGGTTCTACACACCTGGTTTATCTTTTTCCACATTCCCACTCCTGCTTTTTGATTCTCTACTGGGGTATGTACGAGAAATGCTTCTCTGTTTCTCTCATTTTTTCTTCTATACCACAAGAAGAAAAAGCACTCGAGCTTCTGAGAAGCTGGGTTAAACACATAAATACGACGAAATGGCTCATCACGTCTGGCTGAGTGTCGTGGGCTTTGGCCTTTTGGTCACAGACCGAGCACATCTTGGTGTTTGAGCCCTTTTCGTGGGCTCAGATGGAGTTAGATAATTTCAATAAACCTTCAGAAAGTGATAGCTTTTTTTGAGGAGTTTAAGGTGAAAAGTATTTTTTTCATTTTGAATTTTTTTTTTCTCTTACTGGAAAAAGTATGTTTCAGGTCATCGTTAAATTCAAAGAAGGTGTTTAAGCCAGATGCTTCTTCCCTCTTTTGGACCATTTTGTAGCTTCTTTAGCGAGTTTTTCCACCAAAGTTGTTCAATTTGTACATTTATATTGGTCCAGAGTCGTATTCATGTCAACATTTCTCACTGAATTATTGGCAAGAGAAGAGTTCGCTGTAGACCAGTTGTTGGGGCTCAGCCTGTCACTAATTCATCATCTTTATTGAACAAGAAATGTTGGTAAGAGCAAAATGAAAGGTAAGCCTGTTTGTCTTAAAAGTAGTGTCGTTCCTCAAGGGAATAGAGATGATGATGCGCTGTCAGCTTAAAACAACGCACTCATTTAAGAAAAAACCCAAACCACGTTTGAACTCCTTTAGGTGTGTCACGTTCACAGTGTAACCCGCTGGTAAGGGTGGGCAGTGGAGGCGAGATGACTTCCCAAGCGCTATATTTGCTTTCCAGTAAATTCAGGCAAGGATGAGCTATTCAAAATTAGAAACGGAAAATGCACAAATTAATAGTAGAAGTGTCTTTTTTTTTTTTTTTTCCCCCCTGAGAGTTGTGATCAGACTTTCAGGCGTTAAGAAGAGGAGGGAAACCGAGGCGGACACACCTGTTTGACGTGGTAGCTTTTTGCAGCGTGCGGTGCTGTGGGTACGCTTGAAGATTTTTGTTGCGCCGGGAGATCTTGACTACTAAGGGACAGCTGTGAGTTGAGCAGAAATCTGAAGTTTTGTTTCCATTGGTGTGAACGTGATCTCATTGACTTAACAAATTGAGTAGGAAAGGCTTGTTTCTAATAATGGCCTCTCATCTCTCGCTATAAACTTTCTAAGATTAACTCTTCTTTTAAAAAAAAAACCTACTGGAAAGCAGGCTGTCTTGATTGTTAATGAAACACAATACTGGGCTGCCTTGTTCTGGCTTTACCCTCCAGGAGTCAGAACAACTATAACCTGAGACCAGGCTTTAAATTTCATTTAAAACTCTATCGGGTAGAATTAGATGGATGTAAAAGACGACATTTCTGCAAAATTGTAGGCTGTTACCGGTTAAATTAACTGCGAGTGGAGACCTGCGGTTTAAGGAACACTTCTCTTTTCTTTCCATGGCCTTTAAAATATCCGGGTAGTTCTGTTTCTCAACTACCTGTAGTGTAACAGAGTCTGCTGAAGAGTAAAATCCCCGCAGAGGGATTTGTGAGAATCTGCAGCAAATCAAGACAATCTGCATGACAATATCCTCACTTCTGACTGAGCAGTCTCTCGCAGGAAGATCTGCTCTTAGTCGGGTTGGCCATCGCCGTAACACACCCGGTGCTATATTCTTCTTTATTAAGGACAAAATGCCACCAAAAAATTGAGTTTCAGGAATTCTGAAGGGAAAATGAAGGGGTTTTTTTAATGAGACTAGGGAAGGGAAAGGGGGATTTGAATTTTCAGTATTCTAAAGATTCAAAATCTCTGTTAATGCATCGTCACTTCTTTGTGGGGCTTTATGCTGAAGGTTTAAGCATGTAATGGCGGTAACCTGCTCGTCTGCGGGGTATAATTGAAGTTATCAGACATTATTTATGCTGCCGGTTTGATGGTATTTGTTGGCTTTCTGCAGATAATGCTAGTCTTGGTGTGGCTTTTTTCTTTTTTTACCTTTTTTTTTTTTTTTAATGGAGATTTCCACAATTCTGATCTATTGAAAGGGGAGCTATTGCTGAACACCTCTCAGGTTTGCGCTGGATAAATTTCTAAAGAACGTGTTTCAAGTAGGACCCAATCTTTCAGCTGTTTTCTTTTTTTCAGTCACAAACTAACCAATAATAAACTCTCCTAGATGCTCTCAGATCTCATCTATCTTCTCTCAGGAGGTGTCTAGATCATGCTATTTTGAGAATTTGATAATTTTTTTTTCCTGCTTAGTGTATTTCCTAGGGGAGACATAGGAGGGAAGAGGAGAAAATGGATTCCTTCCTCATTTACATTTAAAACTTGCCTAAAACAATTTAAAAAATAAGCGGAACATTTAAAAAAAACCTTTTTTTTTTTTCTTTAATCCTATAGTTAAAAGAAGGATTTTTAAAACTCCTGGAGAAGTACCTGTGGTTTCACAACTTAGAGTAATCTGCAACACTCTGGAATAGTTGGGACCAGGGTGGTTACTGTAATTAGGAAAAGCCTGTCCTCCGGCTTCAGGTTGGACTGAAGTTGTGAAAAAGTTTAACACTCTTTTTCCTTGAAACCTGGTTTTATCCAGTTAATTTACTTTTTTTTTTCACTGGCCTTTCAGCTCTGACAGACGTCCCTAAATACAATTGACATCTAAGTGGGTATAGGAAACATTTGGTGGAGAGAGCTGAAATATCTTCGTCAATCTGTTTTCGTTTTTTTGTTTCTTCTCGTGTAAGATAATTTGTCATCTACTCACAATTTGTTTTTCCAAATATTGAAGAAAAAGCCCCAACTTTAAGCAAAGTCATCTCATCGTAAAGTATTTTAACATCTGCCATGATTATAAGATCGTGGGTTCAGCTGTTAAACTTCTCTACTTCATTTTCAAATCTTAACAGTGAAAAGCGATTTGAATTAATTAATTCCATTAAGTGAGTGAAGTTTGACGGTAAATTTCTTTTCTTGGTGGCACGAAGGAGCGATGTAAGAATGGAACATCAACAGGACAAGAATTCTATGGTTTCTTTAAGATTTTCAGTAGTCTCTCAGGCTGCAGTTGTGCAAAGAAAAAAGATCTTAAGTGAGTCTGTTTACGTATCTCGCTGTCTTGCTTTTCGTATGTGGAGGAGACCCCACTGTTAGAGGGGACGCGTTTGGGTTGTGGTGCTGGTACGAAGCGATCTGGTGCCGTGCTGTCGGTTCGCCTGCAGCCGGGCCGGCGGCGTTTGGTTTGGAAGCTCGTAGCGTCTCGCAGGCTGTACGGCAGGTCCCGTGTGCTGCGCTGCCAAACGCTGGGGCTGATGCAGGCAGGAAGTTAATGCTCAAAGGGATGTTGCAAATGGGAAGCATTATTTAAAAATTAAATTTAAAAATCAAAAAGTATTAAGTTTTAAAAAATTAAAAAGCACATACTCAATATTGACAGTCAGAAAAGGCAAAGGACAGATTAACTTTGACTTTGCAGGAGCTTTGGGTTAATACATCTCGATTGATGCCGTGTTAGCAAAAGGTGGGCGAGTTGTTTCTTTTGCGGTAGTAGTTCTTTGTGCTGATTATTGCCTGCGGCACAAAGAGCAAGCAACGTGTAACGACGGCAGAATTTAGCCGCGCTGGAAGCACGGGTCATGCAGCGTCTGCTCTTTGATTCGTTTCCCAGCCTCGCCGTTGCTCTCCAGAGCGCTCAGCCTCCGTTTTTGTGGCTTTGCAGTGTACGATTTGAGGGGGGGTAGAAATTAATGTTTAAAAGGAGCTGTTGAGAGAGACAAACTAGCACCGCAGCCCCAGGAGGTAAAGACTTGATAGGATGGAGAATATTGTGCTTGAAATCAAGAGCACCATCTCACCTGCACCAAGGGGTAAAGAACTAAATGGAACAGTAAAGCAATTTCAGAAGAGCTGGTCACGCTACACAGCTGTGTTTTAGAGCTTAGGGACTAACCGGTGTTCTTATGCTTTTAGGCCATGAATATATTGGTTCCCTTCATGTTTAAATATGCAGTAGACAACCTCAACCAGGTCTCTGGGAATGTCCTCAACCTCAGCGCTGCGCCGAATACAGTGGCCACTGTGGCAACGGCTGTTCTCATCGGCTGTAAGTGCTTTTCTCCAATTTGGCAAGAGTTAACGTTCTCCTGCGAGGGCGCGGGGTAGCAGAGCATTTGGGATGATTATTTTTCCTAGTTATTTCTGTGTTGATATCCATTTCCAGCGTTCTGTGATCTTGCTTCTGGTATTGCAATGGGAAGAAGAAGAAAATAATGCTTACAGAAATGATTCTTGAGTATAAATCCTCCCCTTTCTTATTACCAGCTGCTAAAGAAACTGATTTAAAATGTGTGCGCGATGGTTTTGTCAATGAAAAATAGTGTAAAATTTTGGACCAATTAAGTATAAATTACGTTTGAGCTAGAAATGTTGAAAATATATAAAGAGTGAGTCTAATGTAATTTCACGCATGAAGGGAAGCTGGAAATTTAATGATTCTCGTTTTGTAAACTTTATTTGTCTTTTTTTAGATGGTATCTCAAGAGCTGGGGCAGCCTTGTTTAATGAAGCTAGAAATGCAGTATTTGGGAAAGTAGCACAAAATTCAATCCGAAGGATAGCGAAGAATGTTTTTCTGCACCTTCACAACCTGGATTTGGCGTTCCATCTAAGCAGGCAAACCGGAGCTCTGTCAAAAACCATCGACAGAGGAACAAGAGGCATCAGTTTTGTTCTTAGTGCTTTGGTATTTAATTTGGGGCCTACGATGTTTGAAGTGGCGCTAGTCAGTGGAATTCTGGTAAGTGGTGTTTATTCATCAGTTGCAATTGTCTCATTTAGGAATAATATATTGATTTTTCTTCTACTGACGTTTACTGAGTGTTAATAATAATAATAATAATAGAATTTACCAGGTGATTGTGGAAGCAACTACTGCAAGGGACAACCATCCATAATTTTCAAGTATTAGTTACTTTAAATCGGCATCTTTTGAAATTATTTTCACGTTTAACGCCTGTCTTCAGCCAGTAGTATTTATGTGGATAGTTTTTAACGTTGTTCTTCAGAATTGTTGACAAAATGAAGTCAGGGTAGTAAACTTGGGCGTACATGTGCCAAATATGTGTGGGTGAATACTGAGGCAGTCCAGGAATGTTGTGTGTCCACGTGTTGAGGACAGGGGAGAGAGTGATTGTTGACTCTCTTCTGAATACTGACCTTATACAGAACTTAAAAGTGAACATTAGCTCTCAGAAAATAAGCTGCTTCTTGCAGGTTTCAAACTTAATAAGCTCAATTTTAACCTCTTATAAATCACTCTTACTGTCTTTGAAATCGGGATCTTAGGGTATCTGTATGCTAAAAAATTGAATCTTGATTATCTAACTTAGACTAAATGACAAGCAAGAACTTTGTTTATTCCCCTTCTTTTTAGAAGAACTTTGTCAAATCTGAATGTAACAATATGGGTTAAAACCCCTCTTGGTGTTGGGTTAAATTTTATAACCTTTGGAAGTTGCAAATCAAGCCGGCTGTCAGCCAGCCTGCCACAACGCTTTCATTTTTCTTCTCACGGCTTTTCTCTCCTGATGTACCCTGAAGGAGAGAAAACGCTTCATAAATAGTTTTTTCACAGCCATTTATTTCTTCCTCTGCAGTCTTCAGCTTTCTTTCAAAATGCACTCAAAAAGCATGTAAACAAATGCTTACTTGCGATGACAGCACAAACATCAGCAGCATTTATGGATTTTAATGGCAAAAATAACTTTTTGGTATGATGTTCTACACTAGCTCTTGGTTATCTCCTCCAGACTTTTTATCTATACCCTTCTCCTTGCTACTTTCCTTTTGTTTTAGTCTTAAGCTTCTCAGAGCAGGGAGCACGGTGGGAAGAATCTTCAGAGTTTTGTCTAGGACTAAGCTGTTGTAATTTTGAGATGACGGTGAAGTTTTCAAAGTCGTGACGATGTTTTTGTTTGTTTTTTTTTTTTAATTGTATTTTAACTAGTATTACAAATGCGGTGCCGAGTTTGCGTTAGTAACCCTGGGGACGCTAGGAGCCTACGCAGCGTTCACGATAGGAATTACACAGTGGAGGTAAGGCTCACCCTCCGATTCCTCAGGGTGCTTAGTGTTATCTCTCCCTGAACTCTTGACTGCATTAAGCCTTCGTTTTACAGGACGAAGTTTCGGATAGAAATGAACAAAGCGGATAACGATGCAGGCAACGCTGCGATCGACTCGCTACTAAATTATGAGACTGTGAAGGTAAGACCAGTCTTCATTACTGGGCTCTTTGTCTTCTGTCAGCCGAAGGAAAATGAGTCATAAGATTCATCTTTTCTAGAGCGACGTATTTGGAGCAGTAGCTCACTTTTGAAACGTGATTCATTTGAAGAGTACTACGTGGGGTTGACAGAATAGCATGAAAGTTATCAGTTGTGCTTGGAAAAATAAAAAGTCCATTTGCTAATGAAGAGTGCGAAGTTGCTCTCATGACTGAATCGTCTTGACCGTCAGTTCCTGCAAAATGTAAACTTAGGCTTGAAAATTTGCTTTTCCCTTGTTTGCAAAATTGTCTTCTGAACAGCAGCCTGCAACGTACTGTCTTCTCAAACGACCATGTGTACCCTTTTCGTTACCTGCTGTGGTTTGTAGCACCCCATTGCACTATTCACAAGAAAGAACAGTCCCCTGTTGGTTCTCCTACTGCCACCATTAAAAAAATCCTGTGGGCACCTTAGAAATTGTACAGGATCATGGATGTGCTGTGCTGCTTTTAACTGGAGAGCTAGAACTGGGGTGAGAAGCAGTGGAGTTACCTGTGAAGGACTCAGAAGCCGATGTTGTGTGGAAAGTGCTATTCTAGAGAATTTGCCATCATCACAGTAACAAGGATGTTTTAGTATGTAGAAAACGTGATTTTTTCGTCTTCTTAGCGCCTAGTTGCAGCTTGTGTTTGGTTTTGACATTAATCAGGTAGAAGTTACGTGAGAGAGACTCCCAGTGTTACCAGAACACGAGGATGGTCGGAATCTCCATAATATCTCCTCTCCCAGTGCAGAATGGGCAGGGATTTGCTGATGGTTTTTACCTTCTTTCACTAATCTCTTATCTTCTTTCCTCTTTAGTTGTTAGAAGTGTTAAAGAGGGGTTGTGTGTATATCCGTGCACGTAGTGCGCTTACGCTGCATTTTCCAACTAGTTAAATGCACAACCTAATGTGTTTGAGAATGTGACATTTCCTTTGTTTGTGTGCTTCGTAGTATTTCAATAATGAAAAATATGAAGCCCAACGGTATGATGAATTCTTGAAGACATATGAAAACGCCTCCCTGAAGACTACCTCGACGTTGGCTCTCCTGAACTTTGGGCAGAGCGCGATATTTAGCATTGGCTTAACGGCCATCATGGTGCTCGCGAGCCAGGGCATTGTTGCAGGTAACTCATCTGTCTCGAAGTTAAAAATTGCTCTCTTTTTCCCTTAATTCATCCATTATAGAAGTGTTGATTTTAATTAACTTCTGGTGGATGCAGTAGGTAGAGGAGTTACCCTGTGAATAGATAAGTCAGTAGGTGCGGATTCTGGCTGTCGTTAAGAAAATTTGGAAAAACTTTTAAGCCGGGTGGTAGAAATACGGCTTTAAATCATCTTTCTGGGCCTGTTTGAGCTGAACTGACCCAGCACTTACCTTTAGCTACTGTGTCCTCCTGAGTTTTCTCTTGATCAGCGTATTTGATAGGAAGCTGCCCAGAGGTTCTCGCTGGATGTTTTATCGGCTCCATTGTGTAGAGTATGAAAGTCCTCTCTTGATCATGACAAATTCTGTCATTTGGATTTGAATTTGTCTGTGGTTGTATTTAAGGGTGTCCTTCCAGATCCTTGCTTTCATATATTAGTTTTTCTCCTTCTACGTTTTTCGGGCCCCTTTGTTTCCCTTCTTTCTGTGGAATTTACAACTTTATAATTTGATGTTTTTCTTGACTATCCTGACGCGCTGCTTGTCTTATTTTTCCAGGTGCTGTTAGATCTTTTTAAAATGAAACCCACACAAACGTTGTCATTCATTTCAGGCACCTTCCTATATAAAATCTGATCTTCTGGGAATGCTTTTTGTTTACTATGTAAACATCTACTTTTAGAAATGAGCTAAAAGAACCTAGACTTGAGTCTTATTTTTCTTTAAATTGTTTGGTGCTTCCTAACGAGACAACCCTTCAAGTCTTTTTATTCTCTCACATCCATTTTTGTCTCAAGGCAGCCTTTCTGTTGGAGATCTAGTAATGGTGAATGGATTGCTCTTCCAGCTTTCTCTTCCCCTCAACTTCCTGGGAACAGTGTACAGAGAGACGAGACAAGCCCTTATCGATATGAATACCTTGTTTACACTTCTCAGCGTAGATACTAAAATCAAAGTAAGTAGTAGCTTATTTTCCTAAAGTATCTGGGTAATTTCCTGGGGGTTTTTGCTGGCAATGCCGTCATTTCACCCTGTTTGTTACCTTCTGGCTTTAATTCCTATTCGAGGATGAGTTGTCGTGTGAGGATACTGTTCTGGCTCCTCTTTAAGCGCTGTTCGTGCAATAGCAGCTGCTTTTTTTTCTTGCAGAACCTTTCTGTGACAGCAAAGGTTGCTTCACAGAGGCTGTGTTTGCACAGAGATTTTTTTTATTTTAAGTATTTGTGCCTAGTGCTTGAATTTTTGTTTGTAATTAATGGTGCAGAATTTATTACCGCAAAAGAAGTCGTGAAGCAGAGTGTTTACAGCAGAAATTTTTCCCTTCTTTGGGGGAAAGGAGGAACAAACCAGTTTCACTTGTGTGACAGATCATAATTATTTTCAACATACTCAAGCTGGAGTGTCTATTTGCCTTTTCCTGAGCGAGGCAATGGACCGTTCAGCTTATTGAACTGCTTGAGGTACGTCCCAGGCAGCATATAAAGTGGCACTCTTCTTTTAATAGGACAAAGAGCTGGCTCCACCCCTGCAGATCACACCACAGACTGCTGCCATCGCCTTTGATAATGTGCATTTTGAATACCTGGAGGGACAGAAAGTCCTTGCTGGAGTGTCTTTTGAAGTCCCCGCAGGAAAAAAAGTGGCCATTGTAGGAGGTAGTGGGTCAGGGTGGGTAAATGGACTAAATACGCCAGTCCCTGATGCAGAATTTTGTTTCTTAAATGCATTTGTTCTTGTGTTTCGCTTTTTATTAGTTTTCTTTGTGACATCAGTTCCGTTTCGAGATTGTAAATGGCGAGCTGGGAATGTAATGTTAACTTCATTTCTTCTCAATTTCAGGAAAAGCACAATTGTGAGATTATTATTTCGTTTCTATGAACCTCAGAAAGGAAATATTTACATTGCTGGCCAGAACATACAAGATGTCAGTTTGGAAAGCCTGAGGAAGGCAATAGGAGTTGTACCGCAGGTAAACCGCGTGGCCTTCTCCCCAAAGAGCCCATTGTACAGGAATTCTCAGTATTCTGACACTGGTTCGATGAAGGCCGATCCTAATGCAGTGTGATTGTCTAGTTCCTTTGGCAGTCACCAGGCTTCTTGTCCCCCACCGCCTCCCCTCAGGAATTATGGTTTTTATGTGCATCATCGGATAGATCCAATTTCTGAAATGTGTTTAAGCCTCTTCATGAGAAACTGCCTCCAGCTCTATAATTGATTGCCACCCATAATGAGTTAGCGAAGTGGTAAAAGTATGCATGACATACATTTTGTGTCCTAAATATATATATATACACACACACACACATATAAATTCAATTTTTGAGAAATTTCCCCAAGTACTTTTACCTCGAGGCTTTGTAGAAACATATAAGCTATTTCCATATTGATTTCTTTCATGGTAGTTTTTTTTAACCCTTGTTCATGGTTTCTTGGTCCACCTAATGTTCCCGTAAACGCAGGATGCTGTTCTCTTCCACAATACGATCTATTACAATCTGCTCTACGGCAATACCGGTGCGACGCCAGAAGAGGTGTACGCGGTAGCAAAACTGGCAGGAATCCACGACGCTATTCTTCGAATGCCAAATGGTTACAACACTCAGGTTGGAGAACGAGGACTCAAGCTCTCGGGTAGGTTCTTAAGCGCACGAGTCCTTTGGAATCTGTGGCTCTCTCAAAGTTCAGTGCAGAGTTTATTCCTCAGGCTTGCTTTGAGCTTATTTACATTATAATGTGATAGTAAGGCTAAATATTGATACGAAGATCTGTAGTTTAAGGCAACTGTAGCCTACAGGGTATTTAAAGGAATATGTTTTCAGGGGGTACCATTAAATGAGTTGGTATGTCAGCGTGTAGCTGCGTCTGAGCAAAAATGATGTTTCTCGTGAGGTGTTTGGGTTGTGGGATGCGTGGGAATGCAACTGGGAACCTGATGCTTGTGGCATTTGCATGGAGGATGCGATCGGCTGACGTATGTGCATCGACCTTCCAAACCCGAGTTCTTAAATCTGACCTTGTGACAGCTGCAAGGGAGGCAGCGTTTTGATTTTCCTCTCGAGAGTACAGCAGGCAACGGGCTGTGTTGGTGCAGCGGGGACATTTTGGCCCCTGTTCATGGTGAAAGGGCTGATGCTCCCAGAAATGTCAGCTCATCTTGGGCTTCCTCGGATTGTGCATTTAATTAATCTTAAACGCAGCTGTGTGCTCAGCTCTTGGGGAGTTTGATTCTGTGTGTTTTTGCTTGCGCGTGCAGCTTTAGGCTGAAATGTGGAGCCAAGGTGTCCACCGTATCCCGGGGGCTTTTCTTAGATCAGTGTTTATTAAGGCATGTTCTCTCCTGGTAGGAACGGAACGTTAACAACAATATAACTATTAAATGGAAGGCTTTGAAGACTTTAATAAAACAATGGAGGGCAGGTGCACAAGTGCGGAATGTTTGCATTGCACACCAAATGTTTAGCAGATTTTGAGTTCTCAAATGCACCTGTTTTCCTGTCTGTAGAAGTTGTCTTGAGTTATTCTTGAGTAGATGTTGGCTGTGAGAATTGTGAAAGAAGGAAACTAGTCTGAAACTTGGTTACATCAGAAACCAACAAGCGGTAGATTGCACAGTGGAGGTGATTTTCAGTCTCTTATTCTCCTGAATTTTGTACCGTGATAGTTGCTGGTTAAAGCTGTTTGGTGTGAATACTTTAAATCTGGGCCATTATGCGGTGGAAAGTGAGATGAGTTTCAGGGAGGGACTTGAAAGAGGAAAAATGGATGTGCAGGATGCATGGAATCAAATACAGCAGACGCAGGCAGAGCATTGCTTATCTGCAAGAGAAAACAGAGTGTATTTGTGCAAAGTTACTGAACAGGGCATAGCTTAGACCGGGCAAATGAGCACGTACTCCCTGGTGTATAGTGTGAGTTGCTGTAGATCGTTATTAGTTACCTGCATTGTGTGATATCTTATGTAACATGTACAGACTCTTATCCTTAGTAACTATGATGTGCGTAAAGAAAAACCCAAAAACCAGAAAAAAACCTCCAACCCTCAAATTAGTTGTGTCCACTGTTGAATTTAGCGTATCACAATTGTAACTTTTTTTTTTTCCTCCTCTCTTTCCTGTCCCATTCAGGAGGAGAAAAGCAAAGAGTTGCGATTGCCAGAGCAATGTTAAAGGAACCACTTATTTTTCTCTATGATGAAGCCACATCATCTTTAGATTCAATTACAGAAGAGGTAAGTTGGGATTAAAAAAAATTTACATAAAACTTAAGTGGTGTAATGATGTGTGAGTCTGATGCTTTCTCCTTGTTCTTTTTGTCGGATTGCTGTCATGCATTTTCCTGGTATTATTATTATGAAGAGATGGTGTGTCTGAGCACTTTTGCTGAAGGTCAGAGCAGAGATCCTGAGTCTGTCTACCTTGAGGCACAGTGAAGAATATCAGCTTTGTCTTTGGGGTTATTGTCGATTTTACACTCTTGGGGTCCCATTGGCTATTAAGTGTTCACTTCTTGAAACTCCTGCAAATATCTCACGTGGCCACAAAGTGTGAAGCTTTTCAGTCCGCTTTAAAAGGTGTTTAGATGACATCTAGCACTGATTAAAAAGTCTTACAAATAACTCTGGCGTAATGCCGGACAGAAGACCTCTTGTTTGTTGCGCAGCATCTTCCTGAGATGCAGAGCAGGTGGGTGTAACCTGCAGTGCTGGTACTAATTTGTATTTATTCCACAGGAAGGGCCCTGAAACATCTGAGCGTCATGACATACATGTCATGACGCTACCGCAGTGGCCACATCAGGCTCCATGACTCCATCTTTGCTTAAACGCACACCTCTCGGCACCAGCAGTAATTTCACAAACTAATGTCGTCAAAAACTTGAGCCAGAGCTATGTTTTTGTTCACTTACGCAGATCATTGAGCGGATTTATTGACCTGTAATCGCTAAATTACTTTCATTTTCCAGCTACGAAGAAATCGGAGTGCAAACTGCGTGTCCCTGCAGTCCCTAGGACAGCTTCCTCACCGGGCCAGGGATGCTCAGAGCACACGCAAATCTCCAGATCTCTACTTGAATTCTTTCTCTTTTTTGCTTCGCTGTATTTGTTGCGAGAATCATAAGCAGAGCTGAAAGGTTCACAGCAGAACTGCGCTTTAAAGACGCAGTAAATGGAAACGAGCCCTTTCTGCAAATGATGTCTGGAAATCGAAACGTTTTCTGACAAACCCAAGCGCTTTTCAGGACAATACAGTGGACACTTGAGTTAGTGTAGCGAGGCACGAACTCCCAGTTCGTGCTGCTCGCGTCTCAGTGCGGTTGGGGAAGGTGGAAGGCGGCTGGCAAGGGCAGCAGTGGAAAGATGGATAATTCCCAGCGTTGCTTTAACTTTGTTTCATGCTGACATGATACCGAGAGGGATTTTTTTTTTTTCTTTAACTTTCACTGATTGATTGGCAAGTAGGATGATAATTCATTGTTTTCACGTGCCGTTGTGTTAGTTTTGCAGCATGGCTGTGCAGGAAGGTTTCTCCTGAGATCAAGTAGCACTTTGCTTCCTTTGCCTCTTGGGATGTCTGCATTTTTCTGTGAATACAATTTTTTTTTGGCAATTTGAAATATTTCATGCTTGGGATTCTTCTGTTTTTTCTGTAGATACTTGGAGCTGTTTCTTCCTGTGAAGCTCTAGCAGTACTGGAGAGGTTTCTCAAAAACTTACATTAATTTGAATATTTCCAGACAGCACTTCCTTTCTCTTCCTACCACCTAAGAGTATGTAAGAATTTTATCTCTATTTTAATCTTGCAGAATATTCTCAGTGCCATGAGGAACATGGTGAAGCACCGAACGTCGGTTTTCATTGCTCACAGGTTGTCCACAGTCGTCGATGCGGATGAGATCATCGTGCTGGATCAGGTGAGACGATCGCTCGGGGATGTGGAATTCTCACAGAACGGCAGCATTTGTTTTAGAGACTCTGTGTGTGTGTTGTGAGATATTATACCCACTCTTCCTGGAAATTCTGTCTTTTGGAAATGGACCATGTTAGAAAATTCTAGCCCAAGCTTTGCTTTCTCCATATTTCTCTTTGCAGCTCAACAGTTTATCAGTTGCCGAAACTCACACGTGTGGCTCTCTTGTATGTTGTGTTTTTACTTCTTTTGCGTAATTCAGTTCATTACGTGTTCTTTCTGGAGATTATGACAAATTTCACGTGATGCTCTGAGGCTGGTTTAACATTACATGTTTTTAATTTACTACATACTTCTGTCAGATTCGGTTTCCTAATGTGCTCCCCCAATTTATGCTGCATTCTCATTACTCAGTGTCTATTTTTCACGTGCATCCATTGTTTTGTTTTGTCTTTCAATGGAAAGAGAGAGGACGGTGTGTTCTGTTTTCATGCAGATAAAACTGTTGTAGGATTGTTCAGTCTAATTATGTTATAAATCTGAACACCATTCTCTATTATACATGTAGAAAAGTGTAATTATTCCCTTTCTCTTCTAAGAGAAAAAAAAAAAAAGGTTCCAACATTTGATTTACTAATATCACTGTTCAGCTCTTACCTCGTATTCAGTCAGCCCTAAGTCCATTTTCTTTACTATTCCCCATATCTGACTATAGATTTGCAGTAAACAAGTGCCCTTATTATAGCTTTATAGTTATTCTTTTAATGGATGGAAATAGAGCGCTCTAATCTGCTGGCAGATGTTAAATTTATCTCTGCATTCATTTAAGTTGCTGTTTATGTGCTTATGACCATAGGTGTGTTTGGTGACTAAAATAAGCATCTCTGAAAGAAAATAAATTACTCCTACAGTGTGTTAAATGATTTTTTTTGAGGAACCACGACAGAATCTTGTGAAATTCACAACTGTCTTTCATATGAAGTTGAGATTTGTATAGCCATCTCAGAGTGAAGTAATGGAATAAATCACTCGTGCTGCTCTGAGGAGTTACTTGGTTTTGATCTCTTTGTTTCTTCAGCTTTCACTGAAAAAATCCTTTCCTAAGGTGTATCCTTTACGTAACTGCACGTTAAAAATGCAAATGTTTGTTGTTTGTTGGGGTTTTTTTAAAGTGTTGTAAGACGATCTGCGACTTTTTGTTTTCGATGCCAGTTTTCACAGCTTACCAGGAGTGTGTTTTGTGTTACAGCGTAACTGTTACAGGAGAAATAAAAGCACAACCTCAAAGTGTAGAACAGCCAGGGTGCTCCCTTCCGGGACGCAGGTCGTGAATGAGTCAGGCAGCTTCCAGCGCCCGACTGCTCCGTGAGGCGTCGCTGACGTTTACTCAGCAGAAAGTGGCCTCGTGTCAGCCCGGCTTGGTTGACGAGCGCCCAGTTAGCGACTGGATAAACCAGGCTCGGCGGTGGAGATGGGATGAGGTGGTTGTGAACAGTTTTGCTTAGCGAGGGGAATTGGTCCTCGCAATTTCAGCACCTTTACCCTAGGTAAAAATCAGAGTCATTCTCGAGGGAGTAAACAAACGTTTCATTCGTGGTGTTTATCTTGATGCTGTGAAGCTGAACAGAGAAGTTACGGTTTGAGTGATTGATCACGAGTTAGTAAAAAACTGCCGCAACTCAAAAGCCCAATCCCTCCTACAGTGAACTCTAAATTAACCACTTAACTGCAGAATTGAGTTACAAACTTCATGTTGGTCAAGGGTGCATTTGTTAGATCCCCCCGGCATGACTAGTAACAGAAGCGACAAGACCCAAATCTTTTCCCAGCGTGCTCGTCAGCAGCTGTCACAAGGAGGTAGATTTAATGGTAGGTCAGAATTTAGAACACCGATAAAACCCGTCGTTGTCTGTCCAATTCTATCTCTGCCCAAAAGAAAGAACAGCCAGGCAATGAATACATTATTTTAATTCAAAGTCAGTGAATGTAAATGTGTATCTCAAAGTGAAAAGATGAGTCAGGTTTTTTTTAGGAGTAGCGTTGTTTCACTGTCTGTAGGATTTGAGGTGTCCTCTCTGGCTGTTCCTTCCCTTTTCCACAGTGATAATTATTAAATCTTCGTTGCTCTTAAGAGTAGCGCGGATGAACTGAGCTGCTCACTTGATTTTCCTGACAGCAATTGCAATGGCGCAGGTTACTGAGCACCCATCTAAAAGCACAATTTACACTGACAGTTTTTAGGATTTGATTTTAAATGTATTTTGCTCCTCTAGCACAAATCCCTCTCTGTGTGCTCTTTGCTTTCAGCTTCTTAGCGTGTGTTTGTTATCAAGGAAAGATAAAAACATGTTTGTTTTGGTACTTTTGTGTGACTTTTTGTTAAACTAGTGGTTTAACAGCTTCCTCCTCATAAAGAGGTCTGCATTTGCTTTAGATAGCTCTTCCGGGTTAGATAATGAAGCTTTCTGTGTTGGTGGGCTCTAAGTTTTGGTCCGGATGGACAAAAGGCATCGCTGTTCCCATGTGTGTGAGTTGGAGAACGCCATAGCCCCTTGTTTTCGTCTTGCCCAACCCAGCGTACCACATCGTCAGTCTTTTATTGGTATCCCAAGATCCTTCTCGTTAACGCTTGCCATGATCTGTGCTATAATACCGTGGCCTGTGTGTTGGCAGCTTTTTTATCTTGCTGAAGATCTGCTACCCTTGATTTACTGACTTACTGCCCTTCTTTTGCAGGGGAAAGTTGCGGAACGCGGTAGACACGCAGACCTCCTTGCAAGTCCTAACAACCTCTACTCCGAAATGTGGCACACGCAGAGCAGCAAAGTACTGAATAGTCATAACAATCCCCGTTGGGAAGAGAGAAATAGTCGGATGTCCAAAGAGGAGGAAAGGAAGAAACTAGAAGAGGAAGTTATGAATAGCGTGAAAGGCTGTGGAAACTGCTCGTGCTAAGCGTGGTCCTGGATTCATCTTCTCTAACAGGTTAAAATGCACAAGATTGCAATGAAGCGCAGCTCTTGGTTTTTAAGTCAGCTTCAAAAACTTCCTGGGTTTTTGCAGTTTTTGGGTTTTACAGTTCCTCAGAGGGACATAATTTCAACCAAAGGAGTTCTATTTTTATGTCTTTGGAAATCTCTAATATTCAGTGGCATCTACAAGAGCTGAGCTTTTTCAAGAACTTTAAACTTCTCAAAACCAGTGTGATTTATGGCAGTTTTTAGGCATTGGTAAATTCTCCTGGTAGTCGCTTGAGGTGGATTATTAAACTGAAAACAGATTTGGCCTTGATTCACATTATTTCTCATCATTAATAGTTGATAAATATGTCATGTTTTAATTATAATTGGGCTAATTTGAACTCATTTGCTAGTGAGCAATTTAAATTCCTCAGTGGTGTTCTGGTTTAAAATGTTCTTCCTTGTAAAGAATAAGAAAAGCCTCAACAAAATATTAGAGGCTTCTAGTAGCAAATGAAGTGTTGGAATTATCCATCTCGCCCTTCAGAATGCATCTTGTACTGGTTTATCAGGAAACATAGTGGTATTATCCTAAAAGCAAACTAACAGTATTTCTAAGAGCTGGCAAAAATCTGGAATTGACAAAACGTGTGAATTCACAGAAAACATGCAAAAAGTTGTAAGTAAATACGAAGAACCACAAGTTTTCCTTAAATGAAAAGGTCCGAGTTCAGGATTCTGTATCCTCAGCGTCTGGTGCAGCAGTCAGAGCAGGATGCAGTCACTTCTGTTTCAGTCGTGGGCTTAGGGAGCAATTAAGATTCAATAAAGACTTCCATAAATTTCTGTTATGTTATTAATGTATGAGAAAATGACCCGGATGATATTGGAAGCGTTGCAATAATAATTTCCTCATTTCAACAGCCGGAACTTCTTCACTGTTGAGAAACCTCGTTGCCATTTGCAGGACACTTGGGCTTTTGTGGCAAGGTTTTGGTAGTGGGGGAGGCTACAGGGGTGGCTTCTGAGAGAAGCTGCCAGAAGCTTCGCCTGTGTCTGACGGAGCCAACGCCAGCCGGCTCCAAGGTGGACCCACCACTGGCCAAGGCCAAGCCCGTCAGTGGCAGAGGTAGCCCCTCTGGGATAGCGTGTTTAAGAAGGGGAGACGGGTCGGGGGGGAACGTCACACCACCAGCAGCAGTCAGAAAAGAGGAATGAGAATGTGTGAGAGAAGCAGCTCAGCAGACCCCAAGG